TGAAATGGTATTTTAAATATATCCTAAATAGGTCATCAGAATTTTACAATACTATATAGTGTTTCCTTTTATAACAATATATATATATATATGTAATGACTGAGTCATAAGTTCATGGAATATCTGTAAATATCACAACAAAAAGTTTGAATTTCTTGTTCTTCTTTCTTCTGCTTCTTTTTTATTACATGATAACTCAAAAACCAAAACAATGGTGTCAGACAATTTCACTGAGGTGACATAGTTTAAAACGGTGCATCCGCTTTTATAAGTATTATCAATAATTAGTAGTAATCTAAAAAATCATATTTATAGTGTAAATGATGTTATTATTACTCCTTGAAATTAGGTTTCTTAAGTACAGGGTGAAACAGGAATTATCAACCAATAATAGATAAACAATAAATATTACAGTTGGAATCTCATTGTATTTCGAACTTGATTACAAATACAACCTTCCTATGTCTATTAAAACACTGCATTGAAAGAACAAGCAAAAAAGTAAGTAAATGTAGGGATGGCTAATATCAATACTTCAAAAACAATGCAAACAAGATATTAGATATGGTATTTGCATTATTCTTACATAATAACACATGCAATAATTAACATATAGCAATATATATAACTATTCAATCACAATTGAGTCTAATTTATCCTATTTTTGTCTGTTAACATTCGACTACACTGTGTGCCTGTGCTATTATGTATGGATGATTCAAATGTCGTCCTTTCTTTCTTGTTTGCATTGTTTTTGAAGGATTAATATTAGTCATCCCTACATTTACATCACTTTTTGAAAAGCTTTTCCTTTACTTGTATATAAAGAATCGTATTTTCCTGTCTTTCCAAATCCAACGAGACGCAGAAATGATCGATGTTTAGCTTAAGTTTGTGTGCAATGCCAGTGTTTCTTAACCTTTAGCACCTCAAGGCCAGCTTAGTTATTTTGCATAATTGTAAAAGTCCACCTATACAGTTAATGATTCGTTAGTTTAGGAGAGCGGCAGTTGATCCAGACCACGACAGTCCATAACTGCGCGTCCCACGGTCCACTGGTTGAGAATCACTGCTATTTTATTTATAAGAATACTTTTTAAATTTTGAAATATATTTTCATCCCATATTGTTAAATCCCCGCAGAGAGTTCTCTTTAATTTCCTGATCCCACCAAGATCTGCCACAAAAACGAATATTATCTCTGGCAGGGGTTAAGAACGCAAAACAAAAAAGTAATATTAGGGTTAAGTATACCGGCATAATAATTAGACTTGCTATAGCTATTAGCTCACCAGTACCGTTACTGAAATAATTTATTGTTATTTTAACACACTCTAGATTTTCATTCTTAATTTTATGTGACAGTAGTATATAGCCCGTCAAAAATGACGGGGTAAGTACTACCACCTTATACATACTGTAACCTCACGTTTCACAGCTAACTGAAATAAATACATTTTGCGAAATCAAGCTTGACTAACAAAGAGGAAGAAAAGTGCGGTCGAGGCAGTCAAACGTCGGTAAATTTATGATCAAACGTCAAAATTATGATCATTCATGAAATGAATTCGTGGCGTATTCATAGAATAATTATTGGTGAAATCATTTTGACTTTTATGACTCCTCCGATTTTGAGAAATCAAGCGTGACGTGACACACACACGGGCTTTCATATAGAATAAATTTTCAAACTTGTGACTAGAAACGTTTTTCAATGGTATATGTTTCGTTATAGTCATCAGTGGGCGTTGTCGTCTTTCTTCGGACATTTAGACATCATATAGTAGACTTACTTCGATGTCTATTTACTGTAACCAACAAAGAAGAGGCGCCTGAATATTTCAATAGGGAACTAGGGGAGGTGAATGGTCAAAACGAAGGTAGCCCAGACGCTTGCAAGGTAGACGCAGACACGTCCATACACACTAAAACACAAAACTACATCCTGTATGAAGTATTATCTATGATCTTCTGTCTGGCTTACTGAAATTTTCTAAAATAGTTTTCGAACAACACTAGTCACCAAGAGCAACTACGATAACAACAACAACAAAAAAAGCACGATAAACATGCTGAACTATGCATTTCGTGAATGATTGGTTTATAAAACTTAGGAGCGTTATCCATAAACGTAGCACACACAACGGGAATAAACTAATGGGTGAAGAGATATTTTATCTTTGATCGCCCGCGAGTCTCAGCCGAAATCCTTACCAAGATGTTATCGTCGAACAAATGAAATACTACAACACGAGGTGACGCTAAGAACAAAATTAAGCACTACCATTGCATTAAAAGATCTATATTCAGGAATCTTTTATTTTTATACGTTACATACAAAGTCATTCTATTATGAAATTAGAAAATAATTTTATCACACTAGGGACTATCAAAGTCTGAAATCTTATTCGCACACTTATAAAAAAAAACATGAAATTAATTTATTCAAAATACCACCAGCGGGTTTTTAGTGCTGACAAGTGTACATATCGGAATTAATTCATTAATTAGCCTTTTCAAATTCCGCAAATATAGGATTTATAATTGTGTATGTGTGTGTTTTCATAGGCTTAGTAACTAACTACACATAATACTTGAAACTGAGTAACTATTCATAAGGTAAATTTGCATATGCAAATAAAATTTCGAGGAACAAGTCAGATGTTTTTAAATGATAACCCCGAACTGTTTTTATTCTATGTGGAAAGAGTAAATTGTTCTTTTTTTCCCCCTTTAAATTACGTGTAATTTTAAGTTTTTTAACTTTCATGCGTTGTAGTTATTTGCTGAGGATAGATTACTCAATATTAAAATATTGTTTGTGTTTTAACTTGGTTTTTCATCTTTCTTTGTTTGTTTTTGAATTTCGCGCAAAACTACACGAGGGCTATCCGCGCTAGCCGTCCCCAATTTAGCAGTGTAAGACTAGAGGGAAGGC